TCAAACGAGGTTATGGTATCTTTTGATGTCACGTCCCTTTTTACTTCTTTTCCACAGGACCTGGCAGTCGATACCATCCAATGACTCCTACGAGACAAATACGATGAAACGGAGAATAGCCTCAGGCATGCCCAAATCCTCCAGCTCCTAAAGTTATTTCTCAAGACGTACTTTACCTCAAAGCCGAGGTGGCCTTGCAATGGTTGGAGCCGTTGGTTTTCCGACACCACCGACCGACATTTTAGGCTCGGTAATAATTGAGCGGGATCAAGTGCTGAAATTCAAAAAACGTATAAACGCCGGCTTCCCGAACGTTCGATTTACGAAGGAGGGAAAAGAAAACAATCAGCTAGCCTTCCTTGATGTCCTCGTTTGCCGCGAAGACGGTGATGGCCTAAAAACTTAAGTGCTCAGGAAAGCGACCAATACTATGCAAGTGCTGACTTTCAACAGCAACCACCCGATTAGTTAAAAACGTAGTTGCGTAAGGACTCTATGCCGGCGCGTTGAGACGCATTGCGGCGAAATGGAAGACAAAGTTGCTGAATTACAATAGCTTCGACGGGTGCTGAGAGCGAATGGTTACCCGCGCAATTTTTTCAGCCAGTACATATGTAGACGAGAAAAGAAACCACATTCAACTGGCCCAACAGTTTTGTGAGCTCGTTCGTACGTAAAGAATGTATCGAAAGCAATCAGCCGCCTGTTCATCCACTTGGATTTGGAATTGCGCACAGGACAGAAGCAATCATCAGGCGCCCAGTCATGAGGAAGAAAGACCCACTTCCACGGCAGCAGACGACTGGAGTCGTTTACCGGACCTAGTGCAGTTTTGGACAAAGCAACTAGGCCGGAGACACCGGGAGATCCCTCCTGACGCGAATGGTCGAGCACACAGGGGAACGAGTAGTAAGAAGCTAACTTCTAGATTATAGATCACTCGACGGGACCCGGCCATATTTTCAAGTTTAACTAGGCTGAAATTTGCGAGAGGTGGCAACCGCGTGGGCTGCGAGCTGCTCGAGTTATGGTTCTCAGGCCCACAGTCTATCAACAAGCGCAATGATTTGTCGTTCCCATAATGCGTACTGAGACATTACCTTAGCAAGAGAATCAGTCACGTGGGAAAGGCCGGGCCCAGCAACAACTCTGACGACAGCGACCATAATTGTCGTGCAATTTTCAAGCCGCATTCAACGCGGACAACAAAACCGCGGCAATTAATGAGATGAAAGCTAAGTGTCAAGCCATCACCGCACGAATTAAGACCCCAAGCTGCGGTTACAGGAGCTGATAATTATAGTGCGCATGCGGATGACCGCTACAAACTATAAATACCGTGCAATCTATGCCTTTATCACCCCAATCTGCGCATGTCTGACACTACCCTACGGTTACCTACGATTAAGGATTTCCGACAGAATCCGAAGCATCAGGGAAATGAAACTCTATTTCCTGTGATCACATTTCAGTCTCTCACGTTGACAACGCCGCTTGATTAATAGTTGTTAATTATGTCGCGACCGGCTTCGAGGAATCTCGTTTTAAGCCACAAGGCTAAATTGAATAGGTTAACTTCCAATACGAGGCATAAGAGACTTCTGTCAATCTTAGAGAAACATTGGGTCGTTTGCATATAGAATAAGTCACCTAACTTACGAAAAAAAATGATGGAAAATATACTTACTTACGTGCAAAACTTCACATATCACTAAGATTTGGAGGATAGCTTATACAAATGTATGTAAAGGACAGTTTATTTTAAGTATTACTTTGCTCGTTCCTTTTTATTTCATTCGCAAGATGTACGGACGAGCATTATGCGTTTGTAAGACTCGAGTCTACTAATTTGCCACGGAATTTTCCGTTTAAAACATCTTCACTTTCTTTTCTTAAGAAAGTGAGAACTGTTTATGTTTTGTGGTTTCTTTTAACGAGACGTCGTTCGTTGTTTGACTCTGTGTTTTAATGGATGCGTTCGGACTGGTTTCAGAGTGGTGAGTGAATTTTCGTTAGCTAAGGTATATTCTATGATTCGGGAAACTTGCCCTATCAAATTTGGATATGTTCGCCTCGTTGCGATTTGGAATAAAATCTAGGGCCTTCGCTCACTGTCACATGACGCCCAAGAATAACGACAAATACAAGGAAGGAGTCGATGGCTATTTCTGGCTTAGTATCTTACGTCAGCCAGCCATACTGTTTTTCCCGTTTTGACCAGGTGGAAGTTAAACCCGGATGTTTGGTCATTTAGCGTTATGCAGCCCAAAGCTCTATCTTTAGACCATCGAGCCACTGTCCACTGGATTTTTATCAGAATTTTGACGAAATTTCATTAAC